TGGTTTGCAGTGCTTCTTTCCTTATTGTCTTTTACCTTTCTAATCAGCTGGGCTATGTCCTGCAGCAGATGCACCGGCCTTGGAGGCCAGCTCATCCACTGTCAGCCAGCCATAAATGAGCACTGGTCAGCGATCGGTCTGTGTCTGGACCGTGGGCCAGACAGGTGCAGACAAAAGGGCAGATATGGCCCAAGGGCCATAAAATGCCCAGGTCCTATGGTGTTGTTCCCTTTGCCAAACCAGGGAGATCTGCTCCCTTGCTGCTACCTCACTAGCGAGTAAGGTTCTGCAGAGTTTCAGCAATCAGCGCCCGTTAGGCAAGGTGTCAGTTGCAGCTCAGTGATTCACCAGTATGACATAGGACCTTCATAATACAGTTTCTAGTGCACTGATTTACTAAAGACAAATAGGCTGTTCACTTTGTAAGGGAATTTTCTCTTTGCAGGGGAATTTCTCCTTAGCGTGGTGAATGAAGAGAAGCTCTGCCGACATCATCATCCAATCATATGCAAGCATTGTGATTCTTTGCACAGTGAATTTTCACCACATTGACTAAGCTAAGGGGAAATCTCCTTGCAAAGTGAATGGCCTATTTGCTTTTAGTAAATCAACCCCATGCTGTCCTATGTTTATCCACTTAAACACCACAGCTTCCAGCGGTCTCCTATTTGGACAGGCAATCCCATTTTGTAACCAAATCTATCCCTTTTCCCTCCTCAGTTGTCTTTCTTTTTTGGTCTGATGTATAAGCCTATATATAGTATGTATTAATGAACTAACCAAGGTGTTATACTGTATTAAACATTTCATCCAACCTTAAACATTATTGTATTGGGTATTTTGAAAGACAATTTAAAGGAAAGGGAGTCATTGAAAATAAACATAATTGTGGGTTGAACCAATACATTTTTGAATATTAAAGGTTACTATTTAATTAATGTAGTTGCTGTGCTCTTCGCCTGCATAGTGTGTGTTAAAAGTTGAGAGCTACAAACACATGTATATTAAAATCAAAATAAGTAAAACTTATGTAGCGCTCACCCCCAAAGGAGCCGCTGGATGAATGGGTCTTCCATAGCCTGTATAGGAATTTTAGAAACTGGCTGCCCCAATAGCATCTACCCCCTTCTCCGGTGAGTTCCTCAGATGATCTCACATTGCAGATATACAGCTATGAGTCTCAAGCCACAGAAGTGCACTGCATATTTTCAGGAAGAATGTAAGAAAAAACATATTTTTAGGGTACTTTTTAGACACAATTACCAATTCTGTTTTTTTGTAAGATAGCAAATGATGATCCAAGGGACAGTCTTTGAAAATTTCCACATCAAAAACAATTTGGGCTCAGTGCAGCAGGGAGAAGAGGGGCTGCACGGCCTGCAGCTTCTCCTCGGATCCCCGCTGCTCTCCTCCGCCTGTTTGGAGCAGAGGCAGCAGGGATACGAGTAGAAATGGAGCACTGAAGCCGGCGAGTGGGGGGGGCGGCGGCAACGACGACGGAGGGAGTGCTGTAACTTCAGGATGGCCGAGCGGTGCGGAGATAGAGAGAACCGCTCGGCCAGGATCTGACAGCCAGCGTCTCTCTCTCCTCACCGCTCGTCCATCCTGAAGTGACAGCTCCCTCAAGCCACTCCCCCCGCCAGCTTCAGCGCCTCATTTCTCCTCAGATCCCCGCTGCCTCTGCCCATTATAGGCAGGGGAGAGCAATGGGGATTACAGAAGAAGCTGCAGACTGTACGGTCCATCTGTGCGTGGCCGAGAGGCTCAGGATGGAGAGGGAAGTGTGCAGCACTCCAATGTTTGTAAATAACTCGGGACACATAGTACTGAGTCCCCATATATGAATGAACAGGATATACTTTACATCACTTCCTGTTCATTCATGAGTTTCTGAATGGGTAGTAGCGCTTCTATCCACTCAGAAACTGGTTGATAGTAAATATTTTCTGAATGAATGGGAAGCCTCTGTACTGAGTGCTTTCCATTCATTTAGAAGAGAGGTTGCAGAATAAGAGATTGAGGAATCTGTGTCCTTAATTTCTTTTTCTACTTAAAAAGGGAAATGTCAGGGGTCTGTTTAGATCCCTAATATTTCCCCGAAGACCCCGCACAAGTAAAACAATTAAAATAAACACAAAAAATATAAAAAAAATAATAATAAAAAACAAAACAAACCACACAACACACTCCCCCTACACACACACACATATATTATTAGACATGTGCAAAGACTAAAAATTTGTTTTCGGACGAAATGAACGGAAACTAAAAAATGATTTTATTAGTTTCATCAAACAAAACCAATTTTTATGCTATTTTGGATTCGGCCACCATCTGCGTGCCGCCATCCTGGAGGCAGGGCACATGACGTCACACGCGCAATTTTCTGTCATTTTCTCTGCACATTTTTATTAACCACTGCACGGGTTAACTGTCCATTTTTGTCAAGAGAGGAAAAGAAAAAGCTATACTCACCTGAACCTCTGAACTGGCCAGCTGTGACAGTGCTCCCTCCTGCCTGTTTCCTCCTATGCTGCAGTGATGGAACGTCACTTGGTGTCCTCATGTCCTATACACTATGGGGTCTATTCACTAAGCTGCCGAAGGATCTAGCCGTAGCTTCGGCTGATCCTTCGGCTAGCTTCGGCCCCAGGACCCCTTCGGTTCAGTAGAACTGAAGGGCTGCTGTACGGGCTATTCACTATAGCCCGTACAGCTCCCGAAGTCAGCCGAGCGGCTCAGTAGAGACGAAGGCATATGCTTCGGCTCGGCTGAGCAGAGGTGAAAGCCGAAGCTGGCCAAACGGCCGGCCATTGGCCAGCCGACAGCCTGCTACTGTCTGCTGGGCGGACCCAGACGTCATCTCACGGGTGGCTCCGGCCACTTGCACAGACAGATCAGCGTTCCTGGTTACCAGGTAACCAGGGACGCTGATCTCCAGACAGCCCAACTCTCTCGGACGCTCCCGGAGTCCCCCGCTATTAGATAGCGGTTCGCGGCCGCCCGGGAGAGAAACACTTTCTTTCAGAAAGGTTTACTCTGCTCGATCGAGCAGAGTAAAGTTTTCCCTGCTCTGTTTTCTTTTCTTTTTTTCTTTTTCTTCTGACATCGGAACCGTCGGCTGCCGCCAGAATAAAAAAAAAAATCACCATAGTAATGCATAGCTAGATTCCTATTGGCTATTTCAATTTGCAATAGCCAATAGCAAACTAGCTATTGCACCTGCCCACTGCTGCTGTCAGCCATCAGAGGGGTCCCCTCTAGTGATTGACAGCAGCAGAGGGCGGGTGCAATAGCTAGTATGCTATTGGCTATTGCAAAGTGAAATAGCCAATAGGAATCTAGCTATGCATTCCTATGGTGATTTTTTTTTTATTATGACGGCAGCAGAACCGCCCGGCCAATAGAAAACAGTTGGGCGGAGCTAGCTGTCACTGCTAGCTCCGCCCAATCATTTTCCATTTTATTTTTTACTACTTTTTTAACTGTTTTTCTATTCTGCTCAGTACCGAGCACAGAGGTACCGAGCAGAATAGCCGAGCCGAATGCCGCTCACTGCTGTTCGTAATCTATGAGAATAGGCCGAACAGCAGCAAGTAGCCTGCCGGAGGTTCGGCTTAGCCGATCCAGATGATGGATTGGCTGAGTCGAACTCCTTCTGCACTTTGGGTCGGCCGAACATGCTGAGCATGTTCGCCGACCTGATGCTGCACAAAGCAAGCCGTTGTACGACTGATTTCAGTTGGTGTACGGCTGGAATCAGCCGTACAAGCCTGAAGTGAATAGCCGAACAGCGTTCGACTCACTTCACTTCGGGACGTTTATTCACTCGGCTGCCTACGGCAGCTTAGTGAATAGATCCCTATGTGTATGACTCACAGGACCTTAGACAGCTGCAGTAGAGGGGGAGGGTGGGGGGGAGGCTGCAAGGACCAGACTATAGGTGCCCATATACTGCACGATTATCATATGAGAATTGCGGGAAATCCTGCGATCGTGCGATAATCGCAAAGTGTATGGAAGGCGTGCGACCGTTTCTACTGTGCGGTCGCACATCTTCTGTCGAACAAGCAGGCTGGAAAACCCGCCGGGAATCGTACGATTCTTGGCGAGTTAGTGGCCTGCTTGTTCGACAACTGCCGAACGGGCCGGTATGCGCAAGCGCACACTGCCCGTTTGCAGTCATCGGAAGCCCGTCCCTCATTGCAGTCATCGGAAGCCTGCCCCTCAGGGGGGCAGGCTTGCGATGATCGCAAGTACTATCTGCCTGTCCAAGATGGGCAGATCGTACGTTTTTTAAATTACTTTTCAACCCTCGCAAGACAAAAGTCTTGCGAGGGTTGTAAAGTGTATGGCCACCTTAAGAGTTTAGCCGGCGCCAAGGATCAGGTGAGTAAAACTTTTTTAATTTCCTCCCTGGACCAAAATGAGCAGTTAACGCTTACAGTGCGGTGCAGTGCTTTCAGTGGGTTGCTCTGTTTATCCTTCCATCAGGCATTATTCGATCGGACAATAGAAGAAACTGGATGGCAAATTCTTGGGCAAACACAGATGGCAGTCGATCAGCTGATGTCACTGTTCGGGTATCTTGACAGCGGCATTGCTGCCACTGTCAGACTACAAAGGACACAGTGGGAGATTTGTCCATCCATGCTGTTTAATGTGCAGGTAGGAATCTGTTACATTGTTTTTGTTCAGCCCGCAGCTTACGTTTCACTTATCACAAACTTCTTTAAAAAATGGCAATTGTTTTTGATGTCGTTTAGTTCGGGTTTACATCTACTTTAAAAGACAGGAAATATCCATTAATCAGAAAAGACATAAATGTAGCCTATGTAAGGAACATCTGTCCTTGCTTTCTGATGATGTGTAATGTTTCAGCCCCACAGGAATATGAGAGTCGTCAGCCCTCCCTCAGTACTTCTATTGGGCAGGAGGCGGTGTTGTGCTGATCAGTTAAATTCTTCCCAAATTTTCTCTCTGGCTTGCAGTGGCTGCTGCTCTTGTGTGAATTGCTTCCAGAGCGGAGCAGACTTTAGTTTTTGTTTTTTCTTCTCTCCCTAAAACAAATTATTAAAAGAGAACAGGAAACAGGAGTTGGGGAGCAGAATAAACAGCGGCCTGTGAGAAATTGTGTCATTTCCTGCAGACCAAACTACACATTTCTAATAATCCCTACTCATCCCTTCCACAAACAAAGGAGCAAGCAGAAGCTGAAAAATGAGGGAGAAGACAAGGAGCGTTTGAGAAGCCAGATGTTACAAGAGGACAGCTGACTCCGTCAAAAGATAGACATGGATGTGTAATTGGTAGCAGAAGAGACAAGGTAATCCATCACAGTCTAGTCTGTCTTTTAACATTCACCTTAACCGTCATTCTTTTGCAATATTAGCAGCCTAAAGTTTTCTTTCCAAACTTTCAAAAGTTTTTTTCCGCAGTGACTTAATTCCTTAATTCACAGATGTGCTCAGAAAGTACTAGAAGAAAACAATTGACTATATAAACTGAACATAACTCTGGTG